AACTTAGAGCTACTTAGGATAAACAAATGTAGTTTCATGTTACAATTTGAAGTCATTCTAGAAAGAAAAAAAAAAGAGTAATTTTTTTATGATTTTTTTTTTTTTGGTGGTTATGAGGTTTGTAAAATTGACCAATCCTGTTTTGAGATAAGGTAGAGAAATTAACAGATAAACTATAAAGTTTCACTGAAGAAAAAACGTTGGAAATGATTTAGGAGGTTTTAGGGATTACATAAAGGAAATTTTAGATTTTTGAGATGAGGAAAATTATTTTTAATTTTAACATTAAAGTTACTTTGTATACAAACTATTCAAAATAAATACTTAACTAAAAATATGATTTTTTTGTATGTGAAAGACTTAAGATTAACTGAAAGACTGCCAAATTTTGTGAAAATATACATACTATATTGAAAGTTAGAAGTATTAAATCTATAAAGACTTCAAACGAATACAAAGAGGTCATGTGGTTGGTCAAATTGACCGTGTGAAATATGCTCAGACATAATTTATGTTATCCTTAACATTACACACTTTACATCAGTTCCTAACTACACTATTCGATCAGAGAGGGTAGCAATAAATACTTACATTGAAGTTGTACATTGCACGTTTTCAATGCTCTGTAAGGTAGACATCTTCAGAAGTTGAGACTTGATAGGACCTAGAGCAGTGGTTCCCAGATGCTTTTCATCAGAGGCTACCTTGAGGTGAATAAAAAAGTTTGAGGCCCCCAGCCTATAACTCTAGCATGGTAATTGAAAAACAGTGCCATAGAATAAACAGTAACACCTCCTTTTGACATACTATATCATTTGATTAATTCAGCATAATTTGGGAACTAACATAGATTTCAGCTTATTGTGTCTGAGCCTTGGAGAACTGAACTTTGGCCCAAAAACATTACTTTTTTTCTCCACGTTTTCATGTTTTTTATGATTATTCATCTACCTCTATGTGCTTACTTTGCAAGTAGATCCTCTGTCTAATTCTCTTGTTTTATCAATCCAAATCAAAACGAATTTTTTATTGGTTATGGTCAAGAACTGTTATTTGGCATGTATTTCTCCTTGTCTTTCTTCTGATTGAAATTCCACCAGTGAGTTTGTTTTATAGAATTCATTTCTTCTAGTTGGCATCGATAATATAAACTTTCTGTAGCGATTCTCTGTACTACGTCTGTTAATGTAGATAAAACAAATCACTGGTTTATACTGTAGGTTGGAATGCATCTTAGTATTTGTTTAACACATACATTTACTTCTTTAGTCAATACAGTTTACATTAGATGTACATTGGTGTGCATGTCTCTCCTTTACTTGGCATTTATGTGTATCATACATGAACATTCATGAAAATTATATTTTTAGTCCATCAAAAAGTATTTGTAAGTCTCGTAAAATGCATTATTCCTCCCCCCTTAAAGAAATTTTTGTCCTCAATAAAAATTTCACCATACAACCTACCTGTTTCTACCTCTCTTGTCATGTTGAACAATGCTTACAACGATTCCACTATATCTGTTATCTCACTTCACATTACTGTATTTTCATGCAAATAACCTGCAAGCTGAATGTTAAATTATTTTTCAAAAATGCCATCTGTGGGGTGTACTCGTGTGCGGGTAATACAGTATTCTTTTTTGTTTGTTTTTAAGACTGAAATCGCTAATTTTCTATTCTGAATATTCATTTATGTTGTTGTGGTTCTCATTCAACATGGAGAATGATTCATCAATCAGCCAATAACTACATCTGTTATTAATTCCAGTTATTAGGACAAAGTATAAATACAAATACTTTTGACTGTATTTATCAGTATTTGAATAGATTCCAATTGCAACTTAATTGCTCACATATTCCCAGACAAATAGGTTTCATTTTCAACGTGTTCCACAACATAAAAAAAACCTTTGACCTGTGATTGTCTTCACCGCGTGATGTAACCACATGGGATTGGGTTAAGTTACCAATAAGATACAAGCTTTTTTTGTAATTTTTTTAATAATAATTCTTTTCCACATGTTACATGATATTTCTAATTTCATATGAAATAATTAAATGACTATAACATACAATACAGTTTCTTCCCAAATAAGTACAGATTTCCCTGTACAACGTATAGCAACAGAAAGAAATTGATTACATCTTTTTAATAAACATATATGAATGTATATTCACAACCTGGCAATGGTTTATATAAAGTAAAATTAAAGGTGAATCATGTACCATATAGCCATGAAAGTCTTCATCTTCTGTGTTGCTGTGAAACACCTGAAGTGGCTCTGAGTCAACAAGTGTATGTGTGTTGCAATCCACATTGTCATTGCTTTCATCCTCCTCTTCTCCAGAAGTCAGCTCACTTTTCTTAAAAGTATTCAAAATGGTTGGTACTTTGACAGCATTCCATGCTTCTACAACCCAATGGCAAACTTCAGCATGGCTGGCCTTCATTCACCCAGAGGCTGTATATTTGTGCATGCTTTCCGTCATCCATTTCTCCCAGTTTTTGCAGATCTTCAGTTTGAAAAACTGCTTATGGTAAGGTCAAGTGGCTGCAGTTTATTTGTGAGTCCT